GACCCGGGCCCGCATTCCCCCGGGGGCCCCGGGGTACGAGGCGTGGGAACGGGCAGTGCTGGGGGTGGGGCCGAGGCCGGCTGTCTTCGTCCTCCCTCCGCACAGCTGACTGTCCCTCCCTGCAGGAGGTGGCTGGTGAGCCGCTGTACATGCTCCTCCGGGCCATACAGTACCAGGTGGACAAGGGCCCCGTGGATGCCGTGACTGGCAAGGCAAAACGGACCCTGAACGACAGCCGCCTGCTTCGGGAGGACGTGGAGTTCCGGCCCCTGACGCTGATGGTGCTGGTGGGCCCCAGGGCCGGAGGGGCGGCGGGGAGCAGTGCTGCGCAGCGCGTGCCCGCGCGGGTGCTCGACACAGACACTATCACCCAGGTCAAAGAGAAGGTGTTGGACCAAGTCTACAAGGGCACCCCCTTCTCCCAGAGGCCCTCAGTGCACACCCTAGATCTCGGTGAGAGAACCAACCACCTGTCCCTGCACGGGACTGTCCCCACCCGGAGATGCTCAGCCCTGTGCTGCTCCATGCGGTGGGCGGGGGGGAGGGGGGAGGGGGGCGGCTCCGGCCTTGTCACCCTGAATGCACGACCGGTGCAGACTCGGGGAACAGGCTGCAGGCCAATCGGCTTCACTGGGTGCCCCCAGAGTGGCGCTCGGGCCTTGCTGGCCACCTAACCCTGTCAGATGAGGACCTGACCTCGGTGACCCAGAACCACTGGAAGCGACTCAACACCCTACAGCACTACAAGGTGCCAGGCTGACAGGGGCTGGGGGGGGACGGGCCCCCATCTCTGGGTCGGCCAGGGAAGGAGCCCAGCCTCCACTCACCTTCCCGCCAGGTCCCGGATGGAGCCACCGTGGGGCTCATCCCCCAGCTGCACAACGGAGGTGCCGTCTCCCAGAGCCTGGCCCAGAACTGCCCCTTGGGGGAGAGTGAGTCCTCTGGCCCCAGAGCTGGAAGTGGGCAGGCAGGAGTCCCGGGCACGCCGTCTGCCTCGCCTGGGTGTCCCCGACACCTTGCCAGGGGGCGAGCCCAACCTCTAGGCTGGGCCAAGGACCTGGGGCGGATGAGGCCAGCAGCTCGTCCTGGTAGGGGAGCTCTGGGACCGTAGGGGGGTGGGCTGAGCTCTTTTCCCCTGCCTTCCTCGGCGCCCGCCACCCTGCCCCGCGGCCAGGTGTCCCCAGCCAGTGGTGTGGGATAGGGGACCGGGGCGGAGGACTGAGGCCAGACTTCTGGGCCCTCAGACATTCCCATGCTGGAGGATGCTGAGGAGGGTGGGGTCCGCCTCTGGCACCTGGTGAAAGCCTCCGACGAGCCGGAGGGAGCGAAGGTGCGGCGCAGCAGCCTGAGGGAGCGGGAGCGAGAGCGGGCGCGGGCCAAGGCGATTCCGGAGATCTACCTCACCCGCCTGCTCTCCATGAAGGTCGGTGTGGCTGGGGGGCTAGGCCCCTGACTGAGCCGTGGGGGAGGGCGTGGTCCTGAGAGCTAGAGAGGTGGCCTGACCCCCTGCCGGAGATCGGCCCTGGCCCACACCTGCCTCCCACACAGACCGCGCCCCCCCCCCCCCCCCCCCCCCCCCCCCCCCCCCCGCCTTCCAGGGCACGCTGCAGAAGTTCGTGGATGACACCTTCCAGGCCATTCTCAGCGTGAACAGGCCCGTGCCCATTGCCGTCAAGTACCTGTTTGACTTCCTGGACGAGCTGGCCGAGAAGCATGGCATCGAGGACCCAGAGACCTTGCACATCTGGAAGACAAACAGGTACGTCGCCTGCTGGCCCCCAGCCCATGCAGATGGGATGTGGAGTTGCAGAGGGGTAAGGGCATGGCCCACGAACCCAAGCTTGGTGGCATCCACCCTGCATTTCTGACACGGACCCGCAAGACAGCTCCCTGTGGAACTCAGGTCTGGGGCCCAGGCCAACGGTGCCCACGGCTGGTCTGTGTCCCCAGCCTGCTGTTGCGGTTCTGGGTGAACGCCCTGAAGAACCCACGGCTCATCTTCGACGTGCGGGTGTCAGACAACGTGGACGCCATCCTCGCCGTCATTGCCCAAACCTTCATCGACTCCTGCACTGTCTCGGAGCATAAAGTGGGCAGGGTAAGGAGTGAGGACGAGGGGCTCCCGGGGTAAGCCACGGAGGCTCAGCAAGGAGCCCTGAGTGGGGCTGGGAGGGGTGGTGCATATTGGGGGCCAGGAAGCTGGGGCAAGGGGGCGCTGGTGGTGCATTCAGGGTGACAGGGCCGGAGCTCCCCCCTGCCCCACCCGCCTCCCCGCTCAGGCCCACTCCTACCCGGAGCAGGATTCCCCAGTGAACAAACTGCTCTATGCCCGGGAGATCCCTCGCTACAAGCAGATGGTGGAGAGGTAGGTGTTGGGGCATCAGGGCTGGGGGGTGGCGGCTGCCCGGCCCTAACCGTGTCTCCTCTGCCAGATACTACTCCGACATTCGCCAGAGCTCTCCCGCCAGCTATCAGGAGATGAACTCGGCTCTGGCCGAGCTCTCCGGGGTGAGGCATGGCCCAGGGGGCACACCCCTCCACCTTTGGGTGGGGGGAGGGGGGAGGGTTGGGGTTTAAGGTCCAGGCTGGAGCCTCACCCCTCCATGTGTGGTCCCCAGAACTACACCTCTGCTCCCCACTGCCTGGAAGCTCTGCAAGAACTCTACAACCACATCCACAGGTATTATGACCAGGTGAGGCCCAGGGCCCTCCGGGGGGGGGGGGGGAGGGGCACGCCCCCAGAGCCCAGAGGGAGGCCCCGGGAATCTCCCTGGGGATGGAAGGAGGTGTCTAGGCCAATCTGGGCAGAGGGGAGGAAAGGCCCAGGTTGGGGAAGAGGCGTGGCTTCTGTGCAGATGCCTCAGGGAGGCCTGGGGTGGCCCCTGCCGGATCCCCAAGCCGCTGCTGAGATGGACTCAGGGCTGGGGGGCCCTGGGCTAATGGGCAGAGGGCAGAGGCCTCAAGCGAGGCGCCCTCCTCTACTCTGGCAGATCATCAGCGCCCTGGAGGAGGACCCTGTGGGTCAGAAGATGCAGCTGGCCTGCCGTCTGCAGCAGGTAGCAGCCCTGGTGGAGAACAAGGTGACTGACCTGTGAGCTTGGGCCCTCGCGGACGCCCAAGGCCCGCCAGCCTGGAGAGGAGCAAGCAGGACCTCCCACCGCAGTGCCTTAGGACCCCTGGATGGAACCAGCAACTGAGGAGGGGCCGGTGGAGAGCGGAAGGGGGTTGTGCCCACCGAGGGGCTCCCTGCCGCCTCCCACCCACCGGCCCTTCGCCCGGCTGTTCCCCTACCTGGGCTTCTTTCTAATTTATAGTAGTCCTCACCTCTTCCCCAACCCCCACCTCCCCCACGGTATTTATTTGCTTGCTGGAGAATCACATCTGGAAATAAAATAGAAAAACATCTTTTTAGAAAAAGTCCAATCCCAGGCCCTGCCTTTCCCTGCGAGTCTACTCAGCGCTCCCTTGCTTGGCCCTCCCTTTGGCCCCATGGCTGTGCCCTCTGCCTGAGAAAGAGGGACCGTCAGGCACCCCCAGGCCACGCTCTCTCTCCCTCGCCTCCCCTATGCCCACCCTTCCCTACCAGTTCTTTCCCGGCCCAGGGAAACAGGACCAAGTGTCTCCCATCTTGGCCTAACCACAGTCACTGCCGAGCCCCCCTTGCTTCTTTTGGACCCCCCGACAGTCCCCAGCTGGACTCCCGGCTCCACACGTGTCCCCCTCTGTTCCCTCCCGGTCGCAGCCAGAGTGATCTTTCTAAAGAGCAAAAGTGCCCCTCAGCCTCCACGGGAATCTCACACTAGTGCCCACACACACTAGTGCCCACGGGCTCCGGGTGGGACCCCTAGCTGCCCAAGGCCTTCCCGCCTCTCTCCCACCCCCAGCCACTCTGTGGCCAAAGAGGTCTCCTGTCCATCCAGCTGTAAGCCTCACCCCAGCCGGGCTCTGCACCACCCTGGAAGCTTACCCACCCACCCCTTTCTGGGGGAGTCGACTCTTTCTGGTCCCTTGTATGCAGCCCCAAAGTCCCAGGCTCCCGAGGGCTCTGCCCGACCCGGAGGTCCCTCTGTCACCAGCCTGCCTGTTAGAGCTAGAGGAGGACCCCTGAGGAGAGGGCCAGGGTGGATGGTTCCCTGTGCTTCCCACAAGGACCTGGGAGGGAGGCCACACGGCGTCAGCGCTAGAGTCCTGAGCGGGCAGGTTCCCAGGATCCGACAGTGTGCGGGCCCCTCCGGGGGGAGGGCCCAGTTGCCTTCAGCTCATGCCCCTGACTCAGTCAGCCAGAATCCCCAGCGACAGACACCATGTTCAGAGAGAGGAGAGCTCCAGCCTGTCTAAGGGGTTAATGAGCCTCAAGAGAAGTGGGAACCTGGCTGAGAGGGGGCGGGGAATGGGGTACCCATGGGAATGGGAGGCTAACACAAAGGCCAAGCAGGAAGCCAGGGAATGTTCCAAGAGTGTCACTGGTGCAGTAGGGCATGTGCGGTGGGGGGCCGGGGGGGGGCTCAACATGAAGACCAGGCTGTCCACTGCCCCCCTCAGCTGACTCCAGCTCTGGAGTGTGGGGACGGAGCCCGGGAAGCAGGTCGCTGACACGTCCCCACTCAGTGGGCCCCCTCTGCCACCCCTGGGGCACAGGGGCTGAGCTGAGGGACCGGGTTGCTGCATCCTCTCGTGGCTGCCCCCTTGGTCCTGGGGCGCCCCTTGGGACCGTGTGGGGGTCCCCCTTGGCGCAGGGACTTAGCGTGGAGGCTGGGTCGCGCCACGTCCCCACCGTGGCCCCCTATGCCAGCCGTGGGGCGGGGGCGGGGGTGGGGGGCGGCTGGTCCTGGGGGCCAGGTTCTCCTGGGCCACCGTGGCCGCACCGCCTCCTCCCCGCCGCATACCTTGCCCACAGCCGAGCAGCTGGGAGGCTATTTATAAAGGCGGGTGAGATCAGCGGCCGAGGCTATAAATGCGCGGGCCGCAGCCGGGCCCCACAGGAGCAGCCGCCTGGGGCGCGGGAGCTGCGGGCCGTGCGGCCGGGATGAGCGCCAGCGCGGGTGGCGGCGGCGGCGGGGACAGCGGCAGCAGCAGCAGGTAGGGCTCGGCCTGGGCGCCCGGGTTGGGGGGGGGTGCCCGGCGCCGCGGCCACTCACGGCCCGCTCACCCTACCCGCAGCTCGCAGGCCTCCTGCGGGCCCGAGTCCTCAGGCTCCGAACTCGCCCCCGCCGCGCCGGCGCCGCGGGTGCTGCAGGGGCTGCTGGGCTCCGATGACGAGGAGCAGGAGGACCCCAAGGACTACTGCAAGGGTGAGGCCCGGCCTCGGGTGTGAGCGGCCAGGTGGCGGCTGAGGGACACAGGGGCGGCGGGGGAGGAGGGGGGTGCTGAGGCCGGCCCACGTGGGCCCTGGGGCCGGCGGGGTTGGGCTCGGCGGGGGCGGGGGCGGGGGGGGGGGGGGGGAACACCCAGGCAGGCGACACCGCCCACCGCGCCACCCACCGTGCCGTCTGGGCTCTCTTCGCCAGGCGGCTACTACCCCGTGAAGATCGGCGACCTGTTCAATGGGCGGTACCACGTGGTGCGCAAGTTGGGCTGGGGCCACTTCTCCACTGTCTGGCTCTGCTGGGACATCCAGTGAGTGCCCCCTCCAGCCCTCCCCCCAGGGCCCAGGGTCAGCTAGGAGCCTACCCCTGGGCTTGGGTGGGGCCACCACAACGCCCCCATGGGTCGGGCCGGGTGGCAGCCGACGACGCAGAGCTTGGTGTTGCAGGCGCAAGCGCTTCGTGGCCCTGAAAGTGGTGAAGAGCGCGGGGCATTACACGGAGACCGCCGTGGATGAGATCAAGCTCCTGAAATGTGTGAGGCGCCTCCCTCCCAGCTCCCGGGCAGGGCGGGGTTCCCGCAGGGGCGGGCTCCGGCTGGCTCAGCCCGGGAGGACCTGCAGGAGCAGGCCAGGGAGGGGGAGAGGAGGGCCAGAGGTGTCCCGGGGGTGCCAAAGGGAGAAGCTGGTGAGGGGCAGGTTGGAGCCATTTGTGGCCCCTTTGCCCCAGGTCCGAGACAGTGACCCCAGTGACCCCAAGAGAGAGACCATTGTCCAGCTCATCGATGACTTCAGGATCTCAGGGGTGAATGGAGTCCGTATCCTTCCCACGATGAGCCGAGCCATGTGGCAACAGCTGCTGTCCCAGCTGCTAGGGCCTCAGTCTCCTGATCTGCATGACGGGGGCTTACCCCTCCCAGGGACACTAGTCTACACACTAGCCCACCGCTTTGGGGGTTTGTGTCTATGTGGTGGGGGTAGGGGGTTGGATGACCAGGCTGACACCGGTTACCCATGGGCATTGCTGACTTACCCCCACACGGCAGGGGCCGCCTCTGTGGCGGTGCCCTGTCTCAGGGATGAGCACAGAAGGTCACCATCCCAACTGGCGCACGGGAGAGGGACAGGGACACTGTAGTGACACCGGAGCTTCGGGTGGGTGGCGCCTGCGCCCCAGCTGTGTGTCTGCTGGCCGCCCTTCACTCCGGGCCCCAGATGTGTGCATGGTGCTGGAGGTCCTGGGCCACCAGCTCCTCAAGTGGATCATCAAGTCCAACTACCAGGGCCTGCCCGTGCCCTGCGTGAAGAGCATCGTGAGGCAGGTGAGCGTCCTGCACTCTACGTGAGCAGGGTGGGAGGCAGCCGGCACAGGGCCGCTAAAGTGCAGGGGTGGCTCTCCCCAGGTGCTGCACGGCCTGGACTACCTCCATACCAAATGCAAGATCATCCACACAGACATCAAGCCCGAGAACATCCTGCTGTGTGTGGGTGACGCCTACATCAGGCGCCTGGCCACCGAGGCCACAGAGTGGCAGCAGTCAGGGGCACCACCCCCATCCCGCTCCACAGGTAGCAAGAGCCTGTGTGGGTCCAGGGTGGGGCCTGTGGGCCTCAGCCCCTGCCTGAGTCTCTGCTCCTTTCTCTCCCCCCAATGCCCCATCTGCCCCCCCAGTCAGCACTGCCCCCCAGGAGGTCTTGGTAAGTTGGGGTGCCCCTCTTTTCCTGGGCCTCATCTCCCCATCTCCTCAGAGCTCCCTCCTCGGCCTCTCTGGTCCCGCCCCCCCCCCCCCCCGGGAGGAAGGTGATACACAGGGTGGGTCACATGCCCTAAACTGCCCTTGGTGGCTGCTGGGCTTGCTACTGCCTCAGTGGAAGGACACTGCATCTAGGGCCAGGAGGGGAGGCCAGCGCCCAACCAGAGGCAGGCCCATCAGCTCCTCCCCAAACTCGAGCTTTGGGGAGCGGAGTGGGGGAGGGAGGCAGGAGGCAGGTGAAGGGCTAGTGCCAAGGGGTGGGCTGGAGTGGGTTGGCACCACATTTACTCATCCAAAGTAGCCCGGGGGGGGGGCGGTGCCTGGGTGGCTCCGCAGGTGGAGCGTCTGCTTTTGACTCAGGGCTCAGGTCATGATCCCAGAGTCCTGGGATCGAGCCCCACATCGGGCTCCCTGCTCAGCGGGAAGCTTGCTTCTCCCTCTGCCCCTCCCCCTGCTTGTGTTCCCTCTCTCGCTGTGTCTCTGTCTGTCAAATAAATAAATAAAATCTTTAAAATTAAAAAAACAAAGTAGCCCTGGGGCCCGTTGGCCTTGGCCCCTGTGAGGCGAGCAGGCCACAGGTAGAGGCTTGGGCTGGTCAGGGGGTGGGCGACGCAAACCCGGGGCTGACCCTGGCTCTGATGGCAGACTGGTAAGCTGTCGAAAAACAAGAGGAAGAAGATGCGGCGCAAACGGAAGCAACAGAAGCGGCTGCTGGAGGAGCGGCTGCGGGACCTGCAGAGGCTGGAGGCCATGGAGGCGGCGGCCCAGGCTGAGGGTGAGGGGCCAGAGCGCGCGCCCAGCAAGCGCAGGCCACCGGGGCCAACTGCTCACACACCGCCTCTGCCCATCTCCCCAGACGCTGGCTCAAGGCTAGAGGGGGGCAGCGGCTCCACCTCCTCTTCCGGCTGCCACCCCGGGGGGGCCAGGGCCGGCCCCTCCCCCGCCTCCTCCTCCCCGGCGGCCGGGGGTGAGCGCAGCCTCAGCCCAGGCTCCCAGACCTCAGGCTTCTCGGGCTCCCTCTTCTCTCCGGCCTCGTGCTCCATCCTCTCAGGCTCCTCCAACCAGCGGGAGACCGGGGGCCTCCTGTCCCCCAGCAGTAAGTTGGGCAGGGCCTGCGGGAGGGCTTGGTGGGAGGATGGCAGGGAGCGGGCAGAAGGGGCTGGGGGTGGGGGCCGGCCAGCTCAGTCTCTCCCCCCTCCTCTTCCTTCTCCAGCACCGTTTGGTGCCTCGAACCTCCTGGTGAACCCCCTGGAGCCCCAAAACGCAGACAAGATCAAGATCAAGATCGCAGACCTGGGCAACGCCTGCTGGGTGGTATGAGCTGGCCTGGAGAGCAGAGCTGGGCACCCTGCTGTGAGGGCAGGGCCGCAGGCCCGCTCCTGAGGAGCCCGATGGGGCCTGCAGTGCCACTCGACCAGCCCCCAGGGTCTGCCTCATGACGCAGACCCGAGACTGAGCCCAGACCAGCCTCGGTCCCATCCGGTCAGCGGAACTGGACCCATTGCAAGGGGCGGGGACCACTGGGAAGAGGCCGGTCCCTCTCGGGACCTCTGGGGACCCTGAGGCTCAGAGCGAACCCCACTGAGCTCCTTGGGTACATGGCCCAGAGGAGGTGGGAGATGGTGGGGGCCGGTGGGGGCGGGCCAGCGGTGGCCCCAGCTCCTCCCCAGGGCTCCCCTTGCCTCCAGCACAAGCACTTCACCGAGGACATCCAGACTCGCCAGTACCGGGCCGTGGAAGTGCTGATCGGAGCGGAGTACGGGCCCCCGGCCGACATCTGGAGCACAGCGTGCATGGTATGCCCCAGCTGCTCCAGCCTCGGGCCGGCCCGCCGGCTGGCAGCCTCACCTTCTCCCCTCTTCCAGGCCTTCGAGCTGGCCACCGGCGACTACCTATTCGAGCCTCACTCTGGAGAAGACTACAGTCGCGACGAGGGTAGGGGAAGGCCAGCCCTGGGCTCAGCCTCGGGGCCTCCCAGATGCCCAGCCGTCTCCCAGCCTCCTCTCTGTCCACAGACCACATCGCCCACATTGTGGAGCTTCTGGGAGACATCCCCCCAGCCTTTGCCCTCTCAGGCCGCTATTCCCGAGAGTTCTTCAACCGGAGAGGTACGGCCGAACAGGCTCAGTTAGCCTGGATGTAGACAGTAGGGCAGGGACCACAGGCCCCAAAGCAGGGGGAACACTGCATCCCGGAGCCAGAGGCCTTCCGGGCAGAGCCTAACACACGGCCCGCTGACTCGCCCCCAGGAGAGCTGCGGCACATCCACAACCTCAAGCACTGGGGCCTGTATGAGGTGCTCATGGAGAAGTACGAGTGGCCCCTGGAGCAGGCCACGCAGTTCAGCGCCTTCCTGCTGCCCATGATGGAATACATCCCGGAAAAGCGGGCTAGCGCGGCCGACTGCCTCCAGCACCCTTGGCTCAACCCCTAGGCCCCACGGGCACTTTGTGCAGCTTGAGGCGGGCCTGGCTCACCCTCAAGCCCCTCCCAGTGCCTTCAGGGAAAGCGGGACGCCTCCTGCCACCCGGCACAAGCTGCCCTCCTCCCCCCACTGGGTGCCAGCTTCCTCACAGCCCGTGGCAGGGCAGAGAGATGCTGGAGCCAGGCCCACCGTTTAGAATTCGTTCTGCCCCCAACCCTCACAACATGCCCTGAGTGGGAAGTGTGCGTGTTTCTTTTCTTAATAAAGCGTGAACTGAAACGTTGGCATCCTGGAGTGACAGAAGTGCACCGGCCGAGGCCGAGAGCTGGGCCAGAAGCTGATTTATTCTGGGGCTGCCCACCGAAACCGGCCAGAGTGCCGGGAGCGGGAAGGGACAGTGTGTTGAGGTGGTCCCAGGGACGGCCTAGGCCTCCACGGCGCGGCCATTGATGATGCGGATGTGGCGGATGATGTCCTGGATGGCTTCCGATGTAGTGCCTTGGCCCCCGATGTCTGGGGTGTGCATCTGCGGGACACACGCAAACTTGAGCACATACCAGGGGCCCGCCCATGGTCCCCCATGGCTGGCAGGGGCCGGAACTGTCGGCAGGAGGGTAGTGGTACCAGCTAAGGCCCAGAAAGCCCTACCCACCCTGGTCCCACCCTCCCCTTGGGGGCAGCAGGAAGCACCAGGTCACCACCTCCAGCCCCTCAGGTGACACAGCAGCTCAACCCCCATTCAGGGAGGGAGTTGGGCGGAAGGCAGGGGAGGGGAGAAGAGAAACCTCACATTTTCGTTGTCCATGGACGCCAACACGGCCTTACGGATGGACGTGGCATAGGAATGGAGCCTAAGGAGGGAGAGCAGCTTTCAAGCCCTTGGGGCCTAGGGGCTGGCCGGGGCCTGACAGCTGGGCATCAAGAAGTGGCTTACTTGAGGTGGTCAAGCATCATGCAACTCGCCAGCAGCGTGGCTGTGGGGTTGGCAATGTTCTTATTGGCGATACTCTTGCCCGTGTTCCTTGTAGCCTAGAAGGGACCAGACAAAGGTGGTGGTGAAGGTAAGAATGTAGGGTATGTGATTCCACTGGTGTGAAGCATCCAGAACAGGCAAATCCACAGAGACAGAAAGCAGATCAGTGGGTGCCAGGGGCGGGGGCCGGGATTGGGAGTGCTTGCTAACATGGCCGGAGTCCCCTTTCAGGGTGCAAGAAATGCTCTGGAACTAGACAGAAGTGACGGTTACACAATACTGTGCGTGCACTTAATACCCCTAAATTGCTCACTTTAAGTGGTTTCACCCTGTTACGTAAATTTTGCCTTTAAAAAAAAAAAAAGACTTAAAAATAGAAACTAACCAATAGATCAATAAAATGTGGCCGCTTCATGACGAAATATTATTCAGCCATCAAAAGGAACGAAGCTCTGAGCCGTGCTACAGTGTGGATGAGCCTTAAAAATACTACGCTGGGGTTAAAAAAAAAAAAGTGTGCCAAGGGAAAGAAGCTAATCTTTATAAAAGCCCACGTGGTATAAGACTCCATTTGTAGGGACGCCCGGGTGGCTCAATCTGTTAAGCATCTGACTCTTGATTTTGGTTCAGGTCATGATCTCAGGATCCTGAGATGGAGCCCCCCGTTGTGCTCTATGCTCAGCGTGGAGTCCCCCTTTCCCTCTGTTCCCCCCGCAAGCATGCGTTCATGCTCTCTCTCTAAAATAAATAAATAAGGGGCGCCTGGGTGGCTCAGTCGGTTAAGCGTCTGCCTTGGGTTCAGGTCATGATCCCAGGATGCTGGGATCAAGCCCCATGTTGGGCTCCCTGCTCAGCAGCAAGCTTGCTTCTCCCTCTCCCTCTGCAGCACCCCCTGCTTGTGTTCCCTCTCTCGCTGTCTGTCAAATAAGTAAATAAAATCTTTAAAAATAAATAAAATTAAATAAATAAATAAATTCTTTAAAAAAAAAAACAAAAAAACCCTCCGTTTACAGAAGACAGACAGAAGAGGCCAATCCACAGGGACAGAAAGCAGATGAGTGGTGGCCAGGGGCCGGGAGGAGGGGCATGGGAGTGACAACTAACAAGTACAGGGTATTCTTTTTGGGGGGATGACAACATTCTGGAATGAGACAGTGGTGATGGTTGCACAACCCTGGATAACCTGAAAGCGCCAAACCCTTACACTTTCAGTGAACTGGATGATGCGCGAGCTATATGGCACAAAGGGTCCAGGAGCCCCGGCGCCACCGGTGCCACTCACCGTCTCGAACACAGCGTACACGTGGCCATAGTTGGCCCCGGCCACGAGGCCAGGGCCCCCAACCAGTCCTGCGCAGACATTGTTGACAATGTTACCATAGAGATTGGGCATCACCATGACATCGAACTGCTGCGGCCGGGACACCAGCTGCAGGACAAGGAGACAGACAGGAGCTCGAGCCCGGGCAGCCCACGGTGCCCAAGGGAGGTGGCTGGGGAGCCCAGCAGGCCAACTACCTGCATGGTGGTGTTGTCCACGATCATATTCTCAAAGGTGATCTGGGGATAGCGGGCTGCCACCTCCTTGCAGCACTGGAGGAAGAGCCCGTCGCCCAGTTTCCTAGGAGGGGGGCATAAGACACCAGCTTGGCCACTGTTAATAATTGCCACCTGGAGGACTGGGGCGTGCAGATGGCCACAGAAGCGGGGCTGTAACCTCTAACCAGTCCCCCGTCTGTAAGACAGGCATAATCCCACTCTCCCTCCCTGAAGTGCGCACTGTGGTAAACCCGCATCTAGGAAACAGGCAAGAGGGCAGAGCCCTGAGCATGGCCCCTCAGTGGGCGGCCAGTGTTCTGGGCCCCAAGTCCCTGAGAGCAGGCCCAAGGAGGGTGTTCGATTCAGCGGTTTCACAACTGCCTGCAGAACGGGCAGGAGCACAGCAGGGGTGGGGCATACATGATGTTGGCCTTGTGTACGGCTGTCACTTTCTTGCGCCCACTCTCCTGGGCCAGTTTGAAGGCATATTCAGCAATGCGCAGGGACTTGGCCTTGGTGATGATCTTCAGGCTCTCCACCACTCCAGCCACACTCTGGGACAGGGGCAGGGAGAAGAGAACCTCTGGCACAGGCTTCTCTTTGGGTCTGGCCTTCCTTACTGTAGACCCTAGCAAGGCTCATCCCCGGCCCCCACGACCCAAGGGGTAAGGGGACAGCCCAGGCCTCACCCACCTCGTGCTCTAAGCTGCTGTACTCGCCCTCTGTGTTTTCCCGCACAATGAGGATATCTATGTCCCTGTGCCGGGTCACCACTCCTGGCAGGCTCTTACAGTGGATGACATTGGCATAGAGGTCCAGGCTGGTGCTGGGGACACAGAGAGAAGAAAAGCTGGCCAATGCCACAACTGTCTGCTGGCACGCTCCACCCGCACTGAGCCCCGACCCCGTGCACTGGGTTCTCACCGAAGGATGTTGTTTCGGGATTTGTGGGATGGTGGCAGGTTATGGTTTGTTTCGATGTTGCCTGCCAAGACAAAAAGAAGACAGGCTGGAGAGGGGGCCCCCAGGCTCAGCCACGCCACCATACTCCCCTTCCTGAGCAAGGGAACGCGTGCCAAAGGCAGCTCCACCCCAGGCAGAAGATGGCTTTCATCAGCAGGAAGACTTCACAGAACGCCCGAGTGTAACATCCACCGTAAGCCCTGCGAGGGCGGGGGGGGGGGGGGGGCGCGCGCTTCGTTCGCTGATGGCTTCAAAGGACCTAGAGCACCACCTGGCACGTAGCAGGCACTTGACAAATACTGACTGACTGAATGAATGAACAAATGAATGAACAAGGGTTGGCAGCTAGCCAAGAGATCTTGCCAGACCCTGGGCAGGAAATGGCAAGATCAGGGTCTGGCTGGCTAGAAAGTGACCACTCCTGCTTACTAACAGGCTGGCTAGCCAGGCTGGCGCCAGCAATGTGACCTTGGCCAGCGTCACTGTTAGGCCCCACGTCGAGGTGCCACATGAGCCCCAGCTCAGGGGCAGGTGGGGGCTGCCTGGGAAACACTATAGCTTAGCCTGGGCTGCACCCAAGGCAAAAAGAACAGGAGCAGCAGGGGGCCAGCAGTCGCCAGAAAAAGGCGGTCCATCAGAGGGTGCCAAGTAGAGCAGGCTTTTCTCAGGGCCCCTTGGGGCCATCACCCCCTCCGAGTCACGCCCTGCCTACACTGCCTTTGCCCAGTGTCTTAGGCACCTTGCAGTTGCCATGTCAGCCCCTCCTCCGGACTGCCAAGGCCTGGGGCTCAAACTGGATTCAGCTCTGCTCACACAGAGCAGGTGATGGGCTCTAGTTTACAAAATGAGTAATACAAAGAGTTTAAGAACGTGTACCAGGGCGCCTGGGTGGCTCAGTTGGTTAAGCGACTGCCTTCGGCTCAGGTCATGATCCTGGAGTCCCGGGATCGAGTCCCACGTCAGGCTCCCTGCTCGGCGGGGAGTCTGCTTCTCCCTCTGACCCTCCCCCTCTCATGCTCGCTCTCTCTCTCTCATTCTCTCTCTCAAATAAATAAAAAAAATCTTTAAAAAAAAAAAAAAAAAAAAAGAACGTGTACCAAACCACGGCAAACTCAGGAAGGGCTAAAATTCCTGTCTGTGACACCCACAGTTACGCTGGCTGGAGCCGAGGCAGCGGGCGGAGGGCTAAAACTGCATCTCTGTGACAGCTGGTTTATGAAAAAGGTTCTGAGGGTCAAAGCTGACCCCAGCAGAGGGGCTGCCCCAGGAGAGAAGGGAGTGGGAGGAAGCCCTTTACTGAACAGGCTCCCATAGAGTCTACTGCCACCAAGATCCCAGAATCGCAGCACGGACAGGATCCCAGAAGCTTCTGTTCACTCTCCAAGCACAAGGGTCCCCTCTAGCCAGAAAAGCCCTGAAGTCGCAGTTGGGTGGCCCCAGGGACAAGCATTAGCTTGCAAGTGAAAGGAATTGTGCACGGTGTCCCATCCTGGCGCCCCGCACTCACCCTTCAGGGCCACACGGTTCCGACGGATGGCCATGATGGCATTGCGGATGTCCTCTTCATCAGCGTTGGAGCTCACGTGTACTTCTTCAAAGTCCACCGGCACACATGCGTGCCTGGGGCAGAACTGGGTCAAGGGGGCTGGCCCCAGGTGCCCCCCATGCGTCCTCTAGGAAGCCTGCCTGGACCACTGGGTGCAGAGGCCTCTCCACTGCTGCTGCCCACCCTGACCTGGCTCTGGCTGAGAGGAGACTGGGCCCACCTGTGCCAACTAATGAAGAGATACTTGAACTCCACAAC